AAATCCTTCTACTATTGCGATAGCTTCTAGTGAGCTTACTCAAATCATTAGCGAATGAAATTCTACTGATTCAATACCATCGTCGCCGCCAGCTTCCTCACATAACCGAACATTCCCAGCGGAGTGAAAAGCCCTAAAGCGTTCAGTTACACAGACGTATAAAGCACATCCGTCAGTGTTTGCATTTCCGACCGTGTTTGCATGTCCTCTCTGTTACGAGTTACCTGTAATACTTCAGCCGTGATGTAAACAGTCAATACGCATCTGTAAATTGTAGATTAAAACGAGATACCTATAACATTTGCGGGTGGCCCTCAATTTCCCTGAGATTCCACTATGAGGTACTGACTTAGTGCATATGGAGCCACCTCAAGAGTATATATACTCTATCGAATAAAAAAAGAAGTTTGAGAATCGGTCCACAAATGGGTTGAAATCGGTGAACATACATAAAATAATACATTCAGTCGAACATAGAACGTCCTCCTTTTTAGAAGTCGGTTAAAAAGCAATGTTTGTGTTTCGTGGAACTCTCGGTTGGAACGAAATTCTTTTCTCTTTCTACTGTATTATTATCGATAAACGTATCAAATTCCCGATAACAAGAAACTTCGTCCCCCATGCCAGTACTCTTTGTTTGTGAAAAAGACATGAAATTCAATTGAAACGATTTAATTAAACTTGGAATCTCAGATACCTAAAGGTCAAAAGGTTGTTATTAGTTGCCATGGTGTATTCGTGACGATTCGGTGGGGACGGAAAATTCTTACATTTTTTTCCGCCAGGCCCCCATCCGCCAAATCCGTACCGCGCGATAAGGAACTTCGTTCCAAAAAAAAATTATTCGTGTTTTAAATGTATCTTTATTTTTATATTTATTTGTAAATAACTATCTCAAAGGATCGTCAGTAATGGTATAACTTTTGGTAGGTTTGCGATCTTAAGAATCACGGATACCAGCGTGTAAATACTTTAAGATTATTTACATCTTGTTTTATGCCTCATATAAGGCAATCGAAACGTAGATCATAATCATTATCACCGTCACCGTCTACCACGGTAGTAACAGACTTCAGGACTTGAGCTTCGAGTTTCTTCTGAAATACCTAATGAAGTCGTATCTGGTAAACGTAGATACATGACGACCGCAATGGCGTAGTGGGTAGTGTACCTGCCTTCTGCGCCAGAAGGTGTGGGTTCGATCCCCACTACTGGAAAAATATTGTGTGATAAACATAGTGTTATTCTAGTGTCTGGGTGTTTATAAATCTATAACATATTATAATATGTATTTATTTACAAAAGAAAAGTATGTTTAACAGTTATCTAGAACCCATAGCTTTGCTTAGTTTGGGACTAGAGAACGTTGTGTAAAAATGTGTCCTAAATATTTATTTATTATTATTACATTGTACTAAGTTATAAAAGTAACTATATCAAAGTTATTGTATATTTATATTATTTATTTATTCCAATTTCCTGCAAAATAACGCGCAATCAGGATTTTAATAGAAGGGATATTTGCCGACAGTTTGTCAAGCAGTCGTGGCCGAGCGGTTAAGGCGTCCGACTAGAAATCGGATTCCCTCTGGGAGCGTAGGTTCAAATCCTACCGACTGCGAACGAAGAGGCTTTCCCTTTTTTTTTTTCATATATTTTATGTTTTAAAAAATAATTGCAGTTTTTTTTTTTTTTGCAAATACGGGAAAGTAAATGGAGTTCCTCTTGTTGTTGAAATTTTCTACTTTCAATTAGCTTTTGTATTTTAAACTATAGCTCAGTAGAGTAAGAGATAATATTGTTATTAAATATTGGCATATTTTTAATGGGATAAAAACAGTTCGCAGCCGTTATATTTATAATCGAACATAAATATTACTCCAAGGCAATATTTCCGGATGAAAGAAGTGATATTTTTATTTATATTAATACAGAAAACAGCAAGTTATTCATAATGTACTGCCAAGTCATTTTAAAGTGATTAAAAATTTTATTTTATTTTATAATCTCATTTTGTTTTATCCATTGACAAAGGATATTTAGTAAGTTCCTTAATATAACCATATTCATACGTAACGAGTACATTTTGGTGATGTGACGTTCGTAAGCTAATTGCTTAGGAACTGCGCCAAACGAGTCGTCGCGCTACTGTTTGTTTGTTTCAAATCTGGTTCAAGTTCTGACGTACTTCCCGTTAGTATGAGCAGTATAGTACCATCGACACGTACTGCCGCCAAGAGTGCTCCAACTCATGGCAGGCTAATTGCGAGATTGCCACACAAAACGAGCAACATTCCTCATTACTCTCCTCAGACTAACGCCCGGTTTCTGAAACACTGATAATCGTAGACGTTAACTGATCAGCTGTCAAATTGCTTTTAATTTTATTTGACTTGCAAAAAGGATTGTTCAATTCTTTGAATTCAACGTCAAAGTCAAAGTCAAAATTTCTTTGTTCAACATAGGCTTATTTTAAGCTCTTATTTAACGTCAAAATCTACCACCGGTCCAATAAACTAGACCTGCAAGAGAAGAACCGGCAAAAAAGTCTGCGGTCATATAAATATTTTTTTTTTAATTATTTAAGTATGTACAAAAAATATTTTACCGACGCGATGTACATACATGATGTTTTCAAATATGTATAACGACGGGAGCGTTAAGATGATTATTTGTTCAAAAAATATGCCGATGGGACCACGTGGACCCAGGTCGTAAACAGCCCGTATCGCTTGCTTTTGCAATACAAATATCGTGTCTAATATATATATATATATATATATATATATATATATATATATATATATATATATATATATATATATATATATATATATATATATATATATATATAATCGAAAACTCGGAATCGGCTCCTGCGATTTTCACGAAATTTAGTATGTGCTTAGATTCGGGGGCGAAAAATGGATCTAGCTAGGTTTCATTTTTAGAAAATGTCCTTTTATCCCTGTTTTCAGGGAATGAAAAATATCATTCGAATATGACGGTAAATTTCGCCGCAAAAGAAAATGTTATAATAGCTCGGTCGGTAATCGGCCCCAAAACAGGCGGCCGTGGTTCGTGTCACGATCAAACCACTCATTTTTTTTTTTTTACTTTTTTTTCGATTCCAGATCATTGCTTTCTTTACTTTTAATTTTTTGTCGATTTGTTATTTTTTTCCCCTTTTTTTTAAAGTTCTTTCTTTTGTGAAAAACATCAGTTCATATTTTCTTATTATTAAGTCGGTAATATCGAAAAATATTATGCATATTTCATTACTCAGTAATTTGTATCTAAATGTAATTTCCAAAACACAGGATTTACCAAAAAAAAAAACAAACCGAGCAAAGCTCGGTCCTCCGGGTACTTTTATTTGTTAAGGTGACAAGCGAGCTGACGGTTGAATTTTACATTTATTAAATATATATGAAACATAAATTATATCTATAGGATATTCTGGCGTACTTTTAAAACATGTAATTTCTTTACCTTCGCTACGAATATGATTTATTTACTAAAGGACACCTTCGTGGATTATTTCAAAACGAAACGTTGTAACTAAATCTGGAATTTTTGGGTCCTGATTTCATCTGATCCCATGGTAAATAGTGTTACGGAAGCTAAGAAATCCTAGTATGGAACTAATCACTTACACTTCATAATATAAAACAAAGTCATCCCGCTCTCGGTCGATATCTGCCCGATGTATGCTTAAAACAGCGCAACGGGTCTTGATGTGTTTTTTTTACTAGATAGAGTTGATTCAAGAGAAAGGTTTATATGTATGATACATATATATATATATATACATCCTTAATAATATTATAAAGGCTAGTGTCTATGTATGGATGGATGTTTGTTACTCTTTCAGGCAAAAACTAGTGAATAGATTTAATGAAAGTTTACAATTATATAGCTTATACATCAGAATAACACGTAGGCTATCGTTTATAAAGATATTGTGTGAATTGTACAAAATATAGGTAATGATAAGTGTCAACTAAGTAGGATTTTTTTTCCATCTGCGAGATATTCAGGTTTATAATAAAAACTCATTGTTTATTCCCTTTAGCCGCGTGGGCGTAGCCGCGGTTAAAAGCTAGTACATAATATAGTAGAGTAAATTTAGTATCAGTATTGTACCCCGCGAAACCGGAGCGGGTCGCTAGTTATCAATAAAGACAAGGTTAAAAGACATCAAAAGGAAACATGTGTAGTAATCCAAGGTGTAATAAATGAAACGCACTCGACGATGTGTGTGACAAGACTGATTTTATTGTCATATACCAAATGCAGTACTTATATATATAACTTACACCTACAACATCTCTCTCCTCAAAAACATTAAAAATAAACCTATTTATACATTTCCTACAAACAGTAAAGACTTACAATATATAAAAGGAATAATGTATTTTCCTTTTGATATACAAACTAAATACCTTTTAATGTAAAACAATAATAAGTTTTTTTTTTTTTTTTACTTTTATTTAAACTGGTTACAATACAAGATAAGTTTAAATATTTGAGTAAATGGGTATTCAGTAATTTTAATTATACCCAAACCTATCTGGTTTGCGTACAACACGACAATCACTTCTAGTGATTATCGGTTCATTACCGACGGTGCTGGTGATTGTTGTCCCCTTGACTGAGAAGGTAATAACACCTGTGAAGATGTGATCGGTGGCGGTGAGGTGTCCTGATCATTATCAAATATGAAGTCGTAGCCACAATTTTTGGTTTTTGTTGGCCTATTGTTATTAGGTAATTTCATTATATGCGACCTGTTCCTACGATAAGTTCCGCCGTTATCAATTTGCAGCCAGTACGAGCGATCGTTTTTGGTCTCATCAACTATTTTTCCTTTGCGCCAAACATTGCCATCACGTACACGAATATAGTCACCAAGTTGTAATGGCTCTAAGGGCCTTGTACCGCGGTCATAATTACGCTTCATATTAATTATTCGCCGCAGCCGGTCGCGGTGCATCTCATGTGGAAGCACGGCTCGCGGAGCAAGCACCTGTTGTGACGCAGGAAGCCTCGTTTTGAGCGGTCTTCCCATTAACAGTTGTGCTGGCGAAAATCGTTCGGCCGTAATTGGAGTATTACGAAAGTTAAGCAACGCTAATTGCCATTCAGTCCCATCTTCACTAGCTTTAGTAAATAACTTTTTTACAGTTTGCACATTACGTTCCGCAAGCCCGTTTGAACGTGGATACATTGGAGAACTTGTAACATGTTCTATTTCCCACTGCTGTACAAAGCTTTTAAACTCTGCGGAAGTGAACTGAGTCGCATTGTCTGTTACAAATTTATATGGTATTCCTAACCTAGCAAATAAGTATATTTGCTAAACTTTAATATTACTGTATTACTTTGCAAGTTTGGTAAACTTACTACTTCAACAAACTTTGAATAATAATCTACTATTAATAAGTAATGTTTCTTGTGGAATTCAAAAATGTCAGCCGCCAATATTTCCCATGGCAGCTCGGGCACAGGGTGCGGTGCAAGCGGCTCGCGGCGCGCGGCGGTGCGGTGGCGCTGGCATGGTTCGCAGCGGGCCACAGCGTCTTCAATATCGGCCGACATACCTGGCCACCAAATAACATCTCGTGCGCGACGTTTGCTTTTTTCTATACCCAAATGCCCTTCGTGAATACGTATCAGCATTTCTTTACGCATTGACTTTGGTATCACGATTTTATTATTGCGAAATAATACTCCGTTTATTACATGTAAGTCATTCCGGAATGGCCAAAAAATCTTGCAATCAAAATTAACATCTTTTTTATCTTTTGGCCACCCCTTCATGTAATAATTGATGATACAAGATAAGTCATTATCATTATTTGTTTCTAGTCTAATTTGCTGTAACTTCTCGTCCGAGGCTTCAACAATATTATAAATCGCATTTACATGAACAGTTACATCGTCGCACACCTCTGCATCTACGCCATGCTCTACTGCAGCTCGAGATAACGCGTCTGCAATAAAAATGTTATTTCCCGGCTTATATGTTATATTTAGGCAATATGCCTGTAACTTTAGAAGCATGCGTTGTAGTCGCGGAGGTGTTTCATTCAATGCCTTACGAAAAATAGCCTCAAGCGGTTTATGGTCACTTTCAACTGTCACTTCCTCATGTCCGTAAATGAATTGATGAAACCTTTGACAACCGAAAAGAATGCCATTCTTTTCGGTTGTCAAAGGTTTCATATTTCAATTCTTTTTCTATTTGCGCCCATCTTGTTTCCGTATGCGTGAGCGTACGTGCCGCGTAGGCGACGGGCTGTCCGCCCTGCAGCAGACACGCGCCTAACCCACGCGCGCTCGCATCTACTGTCAGAGTAACGGGCTCTTGCGGTGAATAAAACCGCAATACCGTTGCATTTGTTAATAACTTTTTTAACATTTTAAAGGCTTTATCGTGCTCGTGATTCCAATCGAACTCCACACCAAATTTCAACAAACTCCTCAACGGTGCTGAAACTTCTGAATAATTAGGGATAAACCTAGACAAATAATTCGTGATTCCCAACAATCGTTCTAGTTCCTTTTTATCTGTTGGCTTTGGCATCTTAATAATCGCTTTGATTCGATTTTTATCTGGCCTCAAACCATTAGAATTAAAGATGTGATCTAGAAAACTAATTTCAGTCTGACCGAACATACATTTCTGTCTTTATTGAATTTAACCCCATTCAATTTTGCTCGGTCGAATACTTCTTTAAGCCTACTATCATGCTCCTCTTTAGATGTACCCCAGACCAAAATATCATCACAATATACCTCTACGCCCGGCATAGAAAAAAGTTTATGCATCTCGTTATGAAAAATTTCCGGCCCACAGTTAATTCCAAATGGCATACGTAAAAAACGATATCTACCGAACGGCGTGGCAAATGTACACAATTTGGAGCTAGCTTCGTCTAAACGTAACATCCAAAACCCTTTTTTAGCATCTAGTTTCGAAAAATATCGTGCCCCTGATAAGTTGCTACTAATTTCATCTAAATTAGGTAGCTGAAAATGACAACGGCGGACTGCTTTGTTCAAGTGATAAGGATCTAGACACAAACGAATTTTTTTATCTGGTTTTTCTACATAATAATATTTGATACCCATTCAGTAGGTCCTTCCTCTTTTATTATTACATTTAATTTTTCCATATTTTCTAGTTCCTCTTTAAGTTTTGGTCTCAATTTAATTGGGATCTTTCTAGAAGCATTCACCACTGGCATAACGCTTTCATCTACATTTATTTTACATGTTGTTGGTAAACAGCCTAATCCTCTAAATGACTCTTCCGTTTTATAATTAATTACTTCATTTAAGTGCGCTAATAATTTCAATTTCTTACATGCTTCGAGCCCTAACAAATTGCTGCAAGTTATATTTAAAACATATATTTTCTGTTTTACTTTTACACCTTTATAAGTCAAAGTTGGTTCAAAAAATCCTACCACAGGCAACTTTGACTTACTTATTTCTCTTAAAACTACTTTATTGCTTATCAAGATGTCTGTGTTAAAACCTGCACCTTTGAAAGCCTCTAGTGACATTACTGAAACATCTGCTCCGCTATCTAATTTAAAAATCACGTTTGAACTGTCAACACGCACAGTCTCATACCATGACTCATTATCACCGTCTACCGAGTCAATAGATAAATTATATAAAAGTAACTCACTTTCATCCTCTTCATCGTGGTTGACTTCACTAACAATTTTCGCTTTGCACAATTTAGCGTAATGACCTACTCGATCACAGCTAAAGCACTTCAAATTACGTGCCGAACATTTATTATCACTTCCATGTCTGTGGCCGCACTTATCACACGCATAAGCACTTCCATCACCGTAATCCAACTTGTATGCTCGCTGCGGTCGTGGTTGATATCGCTGCGGCAGGCGGCGCGCGGTGTACCGACCGCGGCCTCGCGCTCCCGCTCCTAACTCATCCAGCGCCGGATCGGCGGACGTCGGCGCCAGCGCAGCCTGATCGGCGCCCGCACCTCTCCGCCTGCTTGCCCGCCCTCACGATCGCACGACACCGCGAAACGGCACTTTCCAAACTGAGAGTTTCTTTCGCCAGGAGTCTTTCACGCATCGTCGAGTCTTTAATTCCTCTTATAATTTTAGTGAGAATTAAGCTATCACGTAGATTTCCAAACTCGCACGTCTTGCTTTTGATTTTTAACTCACTTAGAAATTTGTCGAACATTTCTTCGTGTTCATATGTTTCAAAAAATATGTGTCGTTCGTAGTTGACATTTCGAATTGGATCGCAACGTTCTTTAAATTTTGTCACTAACTTTTCGTAATCTACCTTCAAAATCTCACTCAAATCTAGTTCTTCAAAAATTTCACGTCCATATCTCCCAATAACATGAAGAAATAATGCACATTTCTCCTTAGCGGGAGCGGTGTCCTTTCCCAACGCACTAAGATAATAATCGAACGATGATTTCCATTCTCGCCAATTGAGCGCGAAGTTGCCGTCCTCGCGCATGGCCGCCGGTTGTTGGATCGCTGAGCAAAAGGCGCTGCCGCAGTACTTTTTGGTGTTTCTCCTTCGTTTCCCATTATTACTTATTACCAACTCTGTATTATATAACACTTAACGTGAAATGGCCACACCTAACACCATGTAGTAATCCAAGGTGTAATAAATGAAACGCACTCGACGATGTGTGTGACAAGACTGATTTTATTGCCATATACCAAATGCTGCACTTATATATATAACTTACACCTACAAAAAAATCCATATCCATAAATAAAATAGATGGACCATAGCTCTCCGATAAAAAAATTAATGAGAAACTTTTAATGTTAGAATTCAAGTTACATACCGTAACAGTTAGTTTTTTTTTATGTGAAAGTTGTCAAACGAGCAGACGGTTACTTATTTCTCTTAAAACTACTTACTAATGTTAAGTGAATACCGCCGCCCATAGACATGCTACACCCGAAGGTTGCAGATGCGTTGAAAACCTTTTGAAAACTGGGCTCCGGCCCCCTCACTCACCTGACGAAACGCGAAAGTATTATGCTTCCAGAGTTCATTCAATAAGAAGTTAAAAGTCGCGTTTCAAACACTGGTGGGCGATTTTTGGTACTTATAGAATGAGAGACAAGTGCAGCGCCGAAAGATTTGGTCCATTTATTTTCGAAAAACAGAGCAGCGGAGTATAAATGATATGATTATTTTATTTGTACTCCGCTGCACTGAGTTTTGAACTTATAAATTGGCATAAAAAGGGGGAAATTTTGAATACAATTAAAATGAGGAAGAGAACAAAACACCGCCATCAGTGGCCTTACAATTATCCTTTTTAAAGTGCACCTACACGAACTCTCCCATGCATTTTTTATTCCCACACGGTAGCCTGCCTTTCCTGTCTTTCGCATCCACTTCGCTCAATCCATCGCACCGTCATGAGTCACATTGCAGGCGTTAAGATCGTTTCTCAGATGTGCGGGAAGTCGATGGATGCAGGTGGCTCAGGATCGTACTTCGTGGCAGTCTATGGGGGAGGCCTATGTTCAGCAGTGGACTCAAACAGGCTGAAATGATGATGATGATGATGATTGGCAAGTAGCGTTAGACGTGTGTTCATTTATTGTCGCGATGGTAACGACACGCTGTATATGTGTAATATGTAATTATTTACAAAAGAAAAGCATGTTTAAGTATGTTTATCAGTTATCTAGTGCCAATGGTTCTTTGGGCATTGCTTAGTTTGGGACTCATTTTTAGAAAATGTCCTTTTATCTCTGTTTTCAGGGAATGAAAAATATCATTCGAATATGACAATAAATTTCGCCGGAGAAAAAATGTTATAATCGCTCGATCGGTTATCGGGCGGCCCCGAAACAGAAGGCCGCGGTTCATGTCACGATCATTTACACACTTATTTTTATTACTTTTTTTCTATACCAGATCATTATCTTTATTTTTCTTTATCTCTCCTTATTTTTTATTTTTTTAATTTCCAAAATACATGACTTACCAAAAAAAAACGGGAAAAGCTCGGCCCTCCAGGTACTTTATCATTACAGCCAATATTCAGACATAGCCAAAAATAGCCTTTATTCCGACAACATAACTAAACATTAATATCATTTGATTCCGTTCTTTCTTATTTACTTTAAATTTATTTTTTATTTATATTTACTTTGTTATATTATTTTTTTTTATAATCGTTGTTTTAAGGACATCAGGGGCTCACAAAATGGGAGTCTGTGAGCCCCCTGTTGACATAGGCCTCCCCCAAATGTCATAATTTCTCTATAAAAGAATATTACATAGTTCACACAAAGCCTTATCTATAGAAGAAAATTCAAAAGTTTGCACGCACCGGTCTACGATGAGTAACTAAACAGAATTTTTAATACGAACAAAGAAGTTAGCAACAAGTTTAACAAACCTCTTTTGAACACGGAGATTGCTTTTAATTTCTCGAGCAGTTTTTTTTTGTAAAGTTGCGCTCACTCAAATGTAATGCTTTTTTGTCTACCCTGGTTCAAAAAGGGATTTATCCTTTCGTATACCGGTTTAAATTTAAGTATTATAGGAAAAAGCGACTGTGTTTATTTTCAAAGTATTTATACAAAATGTTTTTTAATCATTTTTATATTCAATAATATATATATATACATATAGAGTCACGAAGTGGTTTGCTGAGCTACAGAGCTTAGTAGCTCCTTAGCTAAAGCTCTAAAAGTCTCAGAACTAAAAACTGTCGTCCGCGATAAATAAACGGGTAAACATTTACTCCGATCCTTTCAACAGTTGCAAATGCTAGCGAGCTTATTCGGAATAAACATTAATTAGTTCCTCTTAAAATCCTTCTCGAGTTTCTTAATTATTTGTAAATATTAGTACGCGTTTTAATTAACTCCATAACACCCCTTCGGACTTGCGAGTTTCATGTTTCTCGCTTTTCGCTATTGATAAAACAAAATAAAGTTTTTAACGTTGATACATTCGGGACAAAATGGAACACGTGAAACGCGCATATCATGCCCATCTTCAGTATAAACGTATTATATATATATATATATATATATATATATATATATATATATATTATATTATAGGATATTTAAATTTTTTTTTTCTTTTAAAAAATTCACGTAACATATCGCATAGCAAAAATATAGATTTTTCTTTCCGCTAAAAGAACAAAAGACACTTAATAGAATAGTTATGGGTTTGTTTCACAAAATAGTTTATTTCTCTTTTGAAATAATTCTTTTGTGTATTTTATGGTAGATAATGTATATGGTGCCATCTCGACGATTATTATAGGTCGTAAGCGGCCATTATCGGAATTTCCACTCGTTTCGCCACCGTATCTAGTTATTTATTCACCCTTCAACCAACGGAATCATCGAACCGTTCTTTAATCAAAACGTGCCTTATATTTGTTTCCGAGTATTCATGTAAAATTTATTATCCCTTCTTGTAATAATGGAGCCGTATTTTTTTGTAACAGAAATTAGATCTACTGTTAAATTTAAATTTATTTTAAGTTCATAGTGGCAGGATGATTAAATTGCGCAGCTGTAACGATTCATTGTAATAATTATTATTAAATATACACAAAACGAGGAAACAAAAGGATTTTTTTTATTTAATATAACGAAACCCAAGATTGAAAGATGTTGGACGGTATTGTAACATGTTTTAACGTGAATCGTGACATATAGTGCCAATTAGTAAGTACCTCATGCATACACGAGTAGCACACCTTGCATGTAAAGCTTATAGAACTTTGCATGTAAGTTGCTGTATTCTTTAGTTCTTCGTATTCAAACTATAAAGGAAAGTTTAAAATAAAGCCGTTATGAAAGTAAGACTTAGAGCTTCCGTTTTGTAAAATGAATCGTCGTTGAAATCTCGTTTCTATGCTATAGTGATTTACATGAGTTATTATTAGTGTATTCTAGAATTTTCTTTACGTCTTTAGTGAAATAACCAGTTCAGGGCAGTTGTCCATTTGGCTGAAAATAGAGGCGGATTTTCCGAGCTCGACAACGTCCTGTACTAAAGAAGCAATCAGATAAGAACAATAAAACATTAACCTCCATATCTTTATATCTACTTGATGATAAAGAGTTAATTGTTTGACCCCCATCCCGCCTCCTGGTAAGCACTCTTGTTGTAAAACCATCTCAGTGAATACCTATTATATGAAAGCCGATTACACGACAGACTTTGATTTCGATCCGACATTGATGCCCATTGATAGGTACGTAAAACCATATGCACGAGTGCGCAAAATTAATTAACGCTGTGATACGAGAACGCTTTGTTAGCGGTGCATTATTCTCTGCGATTGGCCGACGCAACGACAGGTCCTAATCGAAGCTTTAATCATCCCGTTGTAGTTGGCAACACCGCTCCGCGCACAAGTCTACGTATGATATGCGATAGCCCCTGTAATACCATTGACGCGTTACGACGCTAAAAGCATTTTAAAAGCGTTTCGCCCAATGAACTCGAAAATCATCGGTGAAGTTTAATCACCGCTGAAGCGGACAAAGTGCGTATTTAGTTAGCTCACCTTTATGATTTACCTACATGAGCGAATGAATGAATGAATGAATACAGTTTCGTTGACCACCAAAAATGAAAGTGTAGACGTAAGTGACAATAGAAATACTTTGTGCAATGAAAAATTTGACGGCCTTATCGCTTAATAGCGATCTTTCCGAGGCAACCAATGGCGTAAAGGAAACGTTTACGTTTACTATATATACAGCGTGTCGTTACCATCGCGACAATAAATGAACACAAGTCTAACGCAACTTGCCAATAATCATAAAAAATATTAACGTTAAACAAAATCCATAATTAAAAAAAATATTTTTCAAACAAACTAATAATGTAAAAAAGAAATAAAATTTGTAACATCCTATACAACTCGCGCCAAAGCATCGGATTACAAGCCTCTCCTTCTAACAGTATGTTTTGTCTCTTGAACCGTCTTGTTGAACTGTCCATTTAAATGTGTTTAACCACGTGATTTCTTTGATCCATCACACTTACGATTCGTTTGTGCACTTGATTATACAATGGCTCGGTTGTAACTACAGGCCTAAAGGCCCATTTACACGGTGCCAGTTTCTTGCCTGTTGTATACAATTAAATTGAAGCAATGAATGAGTTGCATGGTCTAAACAAGAAATGGTCTAAACAATTATTGCGCGCAGTTTATTGCATTCAATTATTGCTCTTGTTATGTTCAAGAAAATGGCATCGTGTAAATGGGCCTTAACTCACTAGTCCTGCGTTCCATTTTTTTCGATTCCCATATATAACTGATGTGTGTATCTTATACCTTTAAACGAGCAATTCTTGTATGTATATAATCGGAATCTCGGAAACGGCTCCAGCGGTTTTCGTGAAATTTAGTACGTGCGTTAATTCGGGGGCGAAAAATCGATCCGGATAGGTTTCATTTTTAGAAAATGTCTTTTTATCCCTGACTTCAGGGAAAG